GAACCTTCTCACAAAATCCCAATTTAACATACAATCTGGTATAGTAAGATCATCAATAACTTGCACTTTATTCTCGTAGAACAAGGTATCGAAGTATGACTCCACCTCCCTTGAAATTGTATTCATAGTGGCGTAGTTAAAATTTCTTCTTACATCTATCAATAGTCACTCACATATGATTACATGAAGCTTATTTGAATTGAAATATTGTATCATTTCTATGTTGTCAACTTCGCGGGTGAACCCTTCCAAGAATAGAAAATTTATCATGATTCGCAAAAATGAAAAAGAAATAAAATGAAAAGTATAAGAAACACAAAAGAAATACAAAGAAAAAGAAAAATATGTTACGTTGATGAGAAGATATTACTTGTCATTTTATGAAATGCCTCACGTTACTTTTACTTATTAACTCAGGTCCACTTATGATCATGAGTTAAATGATTGCGTTTTATGAATAAAGTACTTTATATGATACTTAATTTAGTACATGAGTTTATGTGATCAATTTGAAATTGTAGAAGAGTTTAATTGACCCCTTTTCCCATTTTGCAACATCCGAGAAAGGCATGGGTAGAGTGCTTCAAACCCATTTCATATGTCACGCCTTTCTTGATAACACCCGAGTATTGTTCAAACCATGCACGTGTAGAGTGCTTCAATCCATAAAGCGGTTTGTTCAATTTTGCAGACCAGATTCCTTCCTTTTTCATCTTCAAATCCTTATGGTTGACACATGTATACTTCTTTAAGCTTGCCGTTGAGAAATGCAATTTTTATGTCGAACTGAAGCATTGACCAATCTAAATATGCTGCAAGAGAAGCAAGATACGGACAGTGTTAAGCTTCGCAACCGGGGCAAATGTCTCATTGTAGTATATGTGATACGTTTGTGTGCACCCTTTGGCAACTAACCTTGCCTTATATCTTTTGATTGTACTGGCAGCCCCTATATTTATAAGTAAATACCCATTTGTATCCCACTGTCCGCTTTCCACATGGAAGATCACCAGTGCTCCAAGTCTGGATTTGTTTCAGTGCCCTCATTTCCTCTAATACAGCTTTCTTCCATCTAGGATATACTGTTGCTACTTCAATTGTATTAGGAATAAAGGTCCTAAACAAACTAGAAGTAATAGCATGATATGATGGTTATAATTTTGAGTAAGAGAGGAATTGGATATAGAATGTTTGTGCATGACCAAATACCCTTTCTAACTGCAATTGGTAAAGATAGAGCACGTGGAGAATGTCTCACCTGACTCATATAGTGGTAATGTACTGAGATCTATCGGTGATGTTGAAAGAGATTAACCTAACTAATTTTGGTGGTAATGGATCGATTGTCGGGCCTGCTCCATGACAATGTGAAGGATTCACAACTTGCTTAGGTAGTTGAGTTGCTTTCGCCTTGAATAAACCTTTAAGGCATGAAGAGGGACATGTCTACAGTGTCGTGTTGTATTGAATGATTGCTGTTTGAGAAGAAATTGGGATATTTAGGACAATATCTACATCATTTTATTCAGAGAAATATCATGATCAACTTATTTCTTCTTGTATCTCCTCCGGAAGAGAAGTTGTGGGAACGTATGATTTGGATACTTTTATTCTTGTTTTGAATTATTAATTGTTGGTTTGAATTTTAAGTTATAAATAATTAATATGTAATATATTATTCTATATATTTAAGTATTACAATTAGTGAAAATACATGCCGAACCGTTGCCTATGCGGGGGCCTAGTCACCTAGGCAGCTGGCTAGCATGATGCCTTGGTGGCCTCGCCTTACCGCCATGACAACCATGCTTAAAATGCACAGGGAAATTATCCAGCAACTTTCACTATAGGAAAATAAATCAGAATAGAGATGAACTGGTGGGGCACTATGTGCATGCACAAACTTGTTCAGTTTTGAGAAAAACTTGAGGATAGCGAATCATCATCATCATTTACCCCAGTGCCGCAAAGGCTCCCACCTACGGTGGAGTAAGGGGGGGTCGGATGTACGCAGTCTTACCCCTGTACTAAAGCACAAAGAGACTGTTTCCGAATGATCCATAATGAAAATCGCTTCCAAAATTGCATGGGCTGACTGCTGCTTCATAACAAAGAAAGAGCAGACAGTTTGGTGAGCCATTTTGCTTTATTCCATCATATTCTCAAGCCAAAAAAATAACGAATCTTTGGCTCCATTGCAAATGATGGAAAAATGACAACAGTATCTCAGTATCTCTCGTAACTCGAAAATCCAGAACTTTTCTGGATTAGGATTCATTTCATACCTCCCTAAAATTTTGTAGGGAAAAGGTGCAAATAGGCCCATGTACTAACCAAAAAAGGTCAAATAAGCCCTTATTTAGGAGGCACTGTCCGGCCGTCGCCATTTGGAGTGGTTCCCGGTGGAATTTTTTGATGCAATTTTTTGAGCATCTTATTCATTAAGTCTAATTTACTCATACCAAATTTCAGCTAAACTTCAATCGGGAAGGCATTCAAATGAATTTTTGAAAATAACTGCGCAGTTATCTTCAAGAATTCATTTGAATGCCTTCCCGATTGAAGTTTTAGCTGAAATTTGGTATGGGTAAACTAGACTTGATGAATAGGATGCTCAAAAAATTTCATCAAAAAATTCCACCGGGAACCACCTGAAATGACGACGGCCGGATAGAGCCTCCTAAATAAGGGCTTATTTGATTTTTTTTGGTTAGTGCATGGGTCTATTTGCACCTTTTCCCAATTTTGTATAAAGTATTAAAAAGTATTAATACTTTTATTATTGTATTATATATTGTATATATATTATATAATATTATTATTATTATATATAAATATAATATTATATAATTGAATATAGAATACAAAAGAAATATAGAAAAATATAGTCTTTGTTTAGTATTTTAGATTTCATAAATTCTTTATCTAAACGACATTTTTTGCTGTAATTCAATGTAATTCAATATTCCAAGATTAAAAATTGCCATAATTATTCTATTTTAATTTTCAATTTTTATAGATGATGGTCTCGTTTAAGCATCCATAGCTAAGGTTAAAGCGCCCAACTCATAATTGGCGAAGTCGTAGATTCAATTCCTACTGGATGCACATTATTAGTCATTTACACAAAACAAAATATCATCGACCCTCCAATTCTTCTTTTTGTGATATTTTAGGCTATATGATATATATTAACATAGATCTACTTTGAGCATTTCCTTCATAATCCCTATCAAATATCATATAAGATATATATGCTCCTAGATAAATTTGTCCATATCAAATCAATCAAACATCATATAAGATATATATGCTCCTAGATAAATTTGTCCATATCAAATCAATCAAATATCATATAAGATATATGTTCCTAGATAGATTTCATTTTGACTATTTCCATTTCATATATCATAATAGATAATTCTAGGATACCAATACTTATAGAGAATATATATCTATATTAGAGATATTTATATATATAGGAACACTTATTCACAAAAACATTCTTTACTCGAACTAACTAGTTTCAACTTAAACTAATACTAAAATTCGGGATGGAATAAAAGATACAGTATTTACAGAAAAACGGATTTAGTTATTAAAATATTAAAAAATAATAAATAGTTTTTTTATGTCCACGTCATAAACTTTGAGTAGTGCTACGCTTCTGGCAAAGGGTCACATAATGGTAGGCCCTCCCTATTAGAGGACATATAATGCAATGGTATCAGCAGATAATTAGACGTCCACCTCCAAACAAATAAACTTTCAATCCAAAATAAAAATCATTAATATCATGGAAATAAAATTATACAAAACTTATAACCCGAGCGAAACCGTAAACAACACAAAATTTGCTCGAAGGAAAAATTTGCTCTCTGGAAAGCATCATTGTGGTAAAAGTCGTAATGCTAGAGGAATCATTACATCAAGGCATGGGGGGGGTCATAAGCGCCTATACCGTAAAATAGACTTTCGACGGAATGAAAAAGACCTATATGGTAGAATCATAAAATTCATAACCATAGAATATGACCCTAATAGAAATGCAAACATTTGTCTAATACATTATCGGACTGGTGAGAAGAAGTATATTTTACATCCGAGAGGGGCTCAAATTGGAGATACCATTGTTTCTGGTACAGATGTTTCAATCAAAATTGGAAATACCCTACCTTTGACCGAAATCCCCTTAGGCACGACTATACATAACCTAGAAATCACACGTGGAAGGGGTGGACAATTAGCTCGAGCAGCGGGTGCAATGGCGAAACTTATTGCAAAAGAAGGTAAATCAGCCACATTAAAATTACCTTCTGGCGAGGTCCATTTTATATCCCAAAACTGCTCCGCAACAATCGGACAAGTCGGAAATGTTGGGTTCAACCAAAAAAAATTGGGTAGAGCTGGAGCTAAACGATGGCTAGGTAAGCGTCCTGTAGTTAGAGGAGTAGTTATGAACCCCGTAGACCATCCCCACGGGGCGGTGAGGGTAGAGCCCCTATTGGGAGAAAAAAACCTACAACCCCTTGGGGTTATCCCGCACTTGGAAGAAAAACTAGAAAGAGGAATAAATATAGTGAGAAGCTCATTCTTCGTCATCGCAGTTAATATAATATATTACAGTATCAAAATTAAAAGAATAGAGCAAATTAAATTTCTTCATTTAATTATATGAAAAATAAAAAAATTAAAGAATAATAAAATTTATAGGAGTAAACTGTGGCACGTTCACAAAAAAAAATCCCTTTGTATCTCAGAATTTATTAAAAACAAAATTGAGAAACTTAACATAAAGGGAGAAAAAGAAATAATAATAACTTGGTCCCGGGGATCTACTATTATTCCAATAATGATTGGTATACTATTGCCATTCATAATGGGAAAGAGCATCTCCCTATTTATTCGCTATCCCTATTTTTTTAGGATAGCGAATAAGTACTTTAATTCGAGTGACAACAGTCTCACTAATGCAAATCAAATAGTTCAAATCAACTTACGATGTATAGTTTTTGAAGCATATAGAGGACTCTGTTGGATGAATGTTACTCTTCCCTCCAACTTCAAGTTGCCATGTTGACACTGTACCATCTGATGCAGCAGTCACAAATCGGTGACCATAATAGTCAAACTGCACAGAAGATATGTAGGCGAGAGCATAAGAACGAGGGACATTGGTAGCAGGGACCACACCATACGTAGCAGAAGCTCTGTCCTTGCCATACTGTAGATATCATTATTTTTTTAGCATCTTTTTTGTAAAAGAAGAAAACACCAACTGTACATCAAATACTACATAAACGAGTAAATTTATGGAACCCCATATGGCTCCCTTATGGAGTCATATGGGGTATTGTGGCACCACCATCACCATCCATTTATTTAGTGGGCACCGAAACTACCTTTTTCAATCAAGGGCACTGAAAACGTAACGACCATCAAGAAGGGGTGACTTAAGAGTAAATTAAATAGCCATTTGTGCCTAAGAAACTATTTGCAACGGAAAATAAATAAAGCATCAATATTGATAAGGGAAAAACCCAAGCACTTTGTCTAAACACCTGGCAAGTCTCGTAAGATTTTAAAAGATTCATATTGGAGGAATCAAAACTGATATACTTCTTCTTGGGTTAGATGAGAGTACGGATTTTGAGAGAGCAAAGTGGAGGGCACATATTCGTGTGGATGAGTGAACTCTTTTCTTTCTTTCCTATCTCTTTTCCTTTTATCTTTGATCTTCTTTAATTTCTTATGTTATTTTTATGTTTTTTATGCTTTTTATCTTTAAACCTTCTTTTTTTATATGTTATTTTTACCTTATATTTATCTTGTCAATTTAATCTTAATTTATATTTTTATTCTTATCTTTCTTCCTTTTTTGGCTCTGATATTATGGATCGATTCATGTTAGCCGACCCCAAAATCTTTTGGGAATAAGGCTTGGATCTTCTTGTAAATTTTACTAGAATTAATATAGGATATAAGTTAAAAATTAGGAATAACTGACAAGAATAATCCCAACTATTAGTGATCTGCTTGAAATAATCCAAAGTATCAATTATCTCAAAATAATCCCAACTATTGAAAAATCTTCTCAAAATACTACACTTACTTATAAATTTTATCAGTTATTTACAGATAATTATAAGTCACCGGAGTATTTTGAGAAGATTTTTTAAAAGTTGGGATTATTTTGAGATAATTGATACTTTGGATTATTTCAAGCGAATCACTAATAGTTGGGATTATTCTTGTCCATTTTTCCTAAAAATTATGATTGACTGGATGATGGATCTTTATACAATGTTAATGATTAATTCTACTTATTAATGATTACTATTTTTGTGTTATATGTAAAACTAGTGCTACTAAAATATTTGTAACGTCTTTTAAGAAAAAAATACTAATATAGGATTGAGTAATCACATAGTAATCCCAAGTAATCGGCCCTACTCGCTACTAGGCCCATAACCAAGTAGCTACGAAGTACCAATTTAACTACTTAGGGTAAGAAGAGAATTTTTTCTTATCTTTCTTCTCTTTTTGTTAGTCAACCCCAAAATCTTTTAGGAATAAGACTTGAATGTTGTTGTAGGGTAGGAAGAGAATATGTAGTGGAGCAGGAAATGTGGCATGTGGTGAGTCCGTGCCTCAAGTGGGTGGGGAGATGCTCAAAGATTGTTAATAGCCGTAATTTATAGAGATCAATGTTGGTGCCTTCATCACATGGACTCAGCCAAGGGAGGGCTTTATAACGACGGTGCCAATGAATTCCTCTGCACAAAGTTTGGGTATGGCTGCTCAAGAGTGCTAGGTGATTTTGGGAAACCCCATGTCAGCCATGGACAGGTTCTTTCCCGGCATTAAAAACATAAGCTTAGGCTGTTCATGAGTCATGCCAAGTGGCAACAATGACGCCACCGACGACAATAGAGTATAAGAGCTGTAAAATGTAACAAAAGCCCTCTTACATAAAAATGCAGCTACACAAATGATAATTACACCAAAATTATTGATCTTATTATTAATGAATATTTATGATAGTCCCAAGAGTCTTGGTGGCCAATATCAAAGTAACTTTAAACCTGTTACAAAATTTTTATTAGCATTATCAATTAAAATAGATTACTAATACCGATAGGAAACTACAACGGTTATGGTGATGATGATAATAATGATAAATAAATAAATATACTCCCCCCCACCCCCCACCCCCCGTATTTGCTTGTTGGGGACATTACACTTTTGCACAAAAGTGAAGGATACATAGTATGGGTAGTGAGTCGTGTAGATAAAGCGAAAAAATAGGAGAGAATGATGAAAAAGAGAGAATATGAAAAAGTAAGGGTAGTTGAGCATTTTTATATGAAAAACTTGTCAAGACAAGAATGTGTTGCAAATATTTATATACGGACCATAAAGTAAAGTGTTGTGAGCATTCAAATAGGGAAGGAATAGTAATTACAACAAAAACGACAACGGCGGAGGCGGAGGCGGAGGCAACGACAACGACAACGACAACAACAATAACAATAATCATAGTAGGCTTCTTCCATCCATACCAACAGACCAACAATATTATTACTCGCAGGAAATATCAAGTTAAAGTATGTCAATAAAAATGTTTGTTGAGTGCTACTAACCTCCCATAAGTATATATGTTCACTACTAGAACCAACCAAAAAAAATGGTCTTGAAGGGTGAGTTGAGAACGCCCTTGATCTAACATTTTCCACTGTAACCGGAGGGAAGACACATTCATCAATGTCTTGTTGGACTCCCCAGCCAAGGCCGGAAGTAATACCAGCATAGCCTGGAACTCCAAATGTTCCCCTGCTTGTAAACACTTTCATAGGTCTCAATGAAGAGCCTACACTAACTGTTGCTCCACCAAGCTCCGGTGATGTCATTTTCTTGCTCAACACAACTTCTGGTGAAACATGTAAGGAAATTGCAGTAGCCTCATATCTTGTGCAGCCATTACATGGCCAATCAGCCTTTTCCCATACAAAATCAGATCTATGCGCACAAGAAAGTCCATCCTTCCAGTTAAAGAAAAGTATGCCCTGTATTAAAAGAGATTATCAATTGTAATAAGAATCTTCCAGGGTTAAATAGCTTGCCTCAATACAACTCCAGAATTACATGAATTTATGTACTGAAGTCCATCTTTGGAATACTATTTTTTTATCTTCAAAACAAGAAGCAGATTGTGTACTAACTATGAACACCCAACCACCAATACTGGACATATCAAGTTGTACTAACGTCAATAACAAACAAACTCTAGACAAGCTCACCTTCCGATTGCTAGATAGAGCACCCTGACAACGATCAACGGAGTTAAAACACAAAGCCTGCATAATATAAGATATTTAAAAGAATCATTTAAAAACAGAACATCGAGAATCCAGTAAAGATGATACTAAATTTTCAGGGGGAAAAACGCTTATGATGAAGAATTACCTCTAGGAGTTCTCCATTTCTCCTATATATTTCTTTAGGTTTATCAAAAGGCAATATATTTTCTTGAAGATCTGAATATTTCCCACTGGAATTTAGAAATGGATGATCATTAGGGGACAAGCATGCAAGAGGAGATCCAGCAGCACTGCTCGGACTGTCAAGCTTAACATCTTTGTCACAAGTTTCCTCAGCTTCACACGCCCCCATAATATCAGGATACACATTATGCCATCCACTCAAGGACTTATACTTAATATACTGCAATAACTGTGTCTTCTCTTGCAAAAAGTCGCCCTTCACTTCCCAAAGCTCAGTGCAAATACTCCTAAACATCTTTGAGGATGACAACTCATCTCCATCTGACAAAATATTCACATTCTCAATAAAATGATCCAAAATCTTAGTGGGAGATCTATATTCAGGGCACAAATAGGCACTTTTTGATACTCTCTCCAGCATGAATGATGCTAACTGTTTTACACAATAATCAGATACATGGCCACAAGTTTCCTTCAATAATCTTGCAAGTACTGAGACCATCTCAACCGGGGAGTTGCCATCATGAACTGATGAAGAAGATGGTTTTTGAGTGGTGTCCTGGGGTACAAATTTACGGCCTCTGGGTTCTAGAGGCACGATACATACCTGATATTCCAGAATAATAGAAACGGTTCCCCACAAAAAGAGACCGATGGTTTGCCAAACTTTTTCTTTTGAAACTGATGACAATAGATCTCCAACCTGTTTATGCAATTTCTCATCATTGATGTGCAGAGATGCTACACCAATACCTGGGGTATCATGAATCATACTTTCCGAATTCTGGAAGAGGATTCCCCGGAGATCCTCTATATTGATCTCGTGAGAAGCAATTCCTTCATCACATGCAGCTACAAGAGGTGTCAAAATCATCGTAAGACCCCTCAAATTTCTTTGAGCCCAAAATGTTGAGAAGTATAAGAAGATCTCAAATAAATTGAGAACAATGAAATGATTTCTAGTGAAAATATGGTTCGAGGAAATAGAATACAACATCATCATTTCTCTAACACAACATAATGAGCAAATGAAACTCCACTTGTATAATTCCAAAGGTTGTATGAAACCAATTCCATGTGTAGTGGCCGCATTGCCTCTCCCTGAAGATAATTCTGGGTTGAAATAACTCATGCCACACACAATGACATACCTAGAAAGTGAATGCAGTACATCCTCAGCGACCTTCAGAAGTCGTTTGGGAACGGGAGGATAAGAAAAGAAAATATTAAATCTTCCTTTCTCTTCCAAGGTGTATTTGCTAGTATAGTCGTATAACAGGCTATATCCAATGCACTCCAAATTTTTGTTGCTGAGGGACAAAAATATCTGTACAAAACTCGTAGGAAGAAAATTAATCAGTCCAAAACACAAAGTCATATATAAAGACAGAGAGGAACACTAATCACTTCCATAACCAAAGTGACAAAGAACAAGATCAGTGTTAAAGATACCATGTTCATAAGATCAATAGATGTGACCGAGAACTTCTGCTCTAAGCATAACACTGTTTCCAATAATTCGTCTTGGAACATATTAAGCAATCTCTTACGGGCTTCATACTCAGGCTCGGTGTAAGTATATGCTTGAATATGTCTCTTATCGATGTCAATCCAGCATGGGTGTTTTCTCAACAACTTTGTAATGTACTGCATCGCTAAATCTATTCTTGCATTTGAAGCTACATCAAATGCTACACCGCCTGTTATCCAGTTTGACATACTCTTATTTACTAACACTTCCAGGGTACCAACATTAAATATTTCAGTGTCTGCGTTGCGTGCTATACTTCCTAGATCTGAACTAGCAAAGATGTTGAGCGATGAGCAAAGGCACTCCAAAGCTTCAAGCTTTTTATGGAAAAAGAACGAAGGATTAATTAACTTTCAATCCAGAAACTTTTTGATATCTTGAAAGAATAACCATTAAAGAAAACATAAAAGAACATTCTTCAGAAACAGACTGAAATAGACTTTCAGGATAAAATATTATGTGACAAAACAGCATTCATTCATGTGTTTCTGAGAGAAAGTTTAACATTTCATGTACATCCCACCCAGATAGGGTACCATTTTTAATACTCCCTCCGTCCCATAAAACTTGTCAATTTGACTTTTCTTGGTCCCATAAACTTTGGACAACGGTTTTAGTTATTATTTTTTATTTTTGGTGTGAAACTTATAACTTTTATACTTCTATGATATTACTTTTGAAAAAGAACATTTTCATATAATTTTCATAATTGAAATAATTTCCTATTAAAAGATAGGGAAAACTGTCAAATAGGCCCTCATAGTATATCGAAAAAGTCAAATGAGCCCCCGAACTAAAACAACGTTCAATTGAGCACATAAACTTTAAAAAAACAGTCAATTTCATACTTTAACAGGTTGTGTGCCAGTTTGCTGGTTACTAGTCAGACGTGGCAACCATGTGTCAAAATTTACTTTATTTCTCTTTCTTTATTTTCCCTTCTCTCCTTTATTCGCACATCTCTCTCTGTCTCTCCAGTTCATATTCCTCCGTTCTCACTCACTATCATCTTCGCCCCATTCCTCTTTCTTCTTCCAACCCGCCCCATCTTTTTAATTCTTTCTTTTTTACCAATTAAATACAACAAGAATGTGAAAGTATATTAGAATATGCTTTAGAATATATTAGGAATATACCATATATATTATTATTGTAGAGCATCTTTTATAGGAATATTCTATCTTGTAATCTATATTTATAGGGCCTTACCCTTCAATGAAATACACAGAAAATCTTTCCTCCACTTTCAATATTATTCTAGTTTATATTTCAACATGGTATCTCTGTTCCATTTGATTCTAATTTCACAGCCCAGTTTCTTCCCGTTCAGAACATCCACAGTCCCAGAACCTCAGCAGAACATCCGCAGTCTCGGAACCTCAGCAGAACATCCTCAGTCTCGGAACCTCAGCAGAACATCCTCAGTCTCAGAACCTCAGCAGAACATCACTTTAGTTCATAAACTCAGTCCAACGACTGTCTCACCACCACCACCCTCTGGTTCGCCTGCCACCGGCGACCGGCGACCTGGAGGCCGCACGCCCAAATCAGCGCGCATGAGCTACACGCGCCGTCGGGAGCTTCCGCGTCCATCGCCCGCGCCAGCGCGTGCAGCCGTGTTTCTGGCCGGAGCTTTGATTGGAACCCATCACCACACTCGCCATCGTGTCTTTTACCACATGTGTTCGCTATTTCCAGGTATCTTATGAACATAATCTTGGCAGTCTCACTCGTACGTTCTCCAGCCAGGGACGGATATATGTTGGCTGGAGGAAATATGGTTATTTGGTCGCTGGATTCAGGCATCTGGTATCTGTGGATATATGCCCCCTTCAACTGATTGTTGAGATCGGATATGTGTTACCAGTCCGTTTTCTTGGTAAGTCCAAAGACGAAGCTTTGGAGCTTTGACTGGAGTCCGCTATTTTACTGGAGTTTAAAGACCTAGTGGATTACTTATTTCGTTCTCCAAAATTTGAGCCCACGCACGTGAAAGGCTGCTGTAAGTTTATTCTGCTATCTCAGTTTTGATTTTTTTAAAAAAAGGAAAACTGTCAAATAGGTCTTCAAACTTTCATAAAAAGGTCAAATAAGTCCTTATATAGGAGGCTCTGTCCGGCCGTCGTGATTTGGGGCGGTTCCCGGTGGAATTTTTTGATGAAAATTTTTTAGCATCTTATTCATCAAGTATAGTTTACTCATGCCAAATTTCAACTACAACTTCAATAGGGAACGCATTCGGTTGAAAGCCCGATTAGTTGCGAAGGGTTATGCTCAAACCTATGGTGTTGATTATTCTGACACTTTTTCTCGTGTTGCTAAATTAACATCTGTTAGGTTACTTATTTCTCTCGCTGCAACTCATGATTGGCACTTGCATCAGTTGGACATTAAAAATGCATGGTGACCTTAAGGAAGAAGTTTATATTGAGCAACCTCCGGGATTTGTTGCTCAGGTTGCTGGGGAGACGTCGGCAAGAGCCATCGCCTCGCCGGAAGAAGAATAGGCGACCATGGCGTCCTCTTGTCGTCGTCCAGTCAACGGTTTGGCGACATGGCGTTCGCCAAACAAGAAGTCGCAGAATAATTCGAAGTCCAAACTGAAGGCCCAGATTTAGTTTTTGGAAATAAAATTAGGAGTTGAAATAAAGCCCAAATCTTACTTGACCCTTCGTAAACTCAATCATCGTCCCATACACCTTGCGGAAAGAAGTCGAGCATCCAACATTTTAGGGTACTTCGTAGTCTAGCCTGTACTTCGTGGAAAGAAGTCGAGCTCGTGGAAAGAGCTCCCAGGTTCTATGGGTTAATTCCCAGATTTTTTTTAATCTCTAGTTACTTCTTTTTTCTGTTTCTTCTAATGTACCTTACAACCTTATCTAATGCTCCAAGTGGACAAGTGGATGCTTTTTAAGGAATGGGGAATGGCCAAGTGGGACACAAAGTGAATCTTATACTACATATTTTTATATAAATTAATATATATATATATAGTATTATAGCATATCTTTTTATAAATATGTATGTTCATCTTTGTTGTGTTTCATAAACATATTTTTAATTGCAGTTTATGAGTATTAGAATATTAATATATTTAGATTGAATTGAATAATATTGAATAATACAGTAAAATAAGAAGCACTTATTGATATATAATAAGTTGCAAATGAAATATAGTTAGATACAATATTATTATTTTTTTTACCCCGGAAGGCAAACCACCAAAATCAGTGGGGATAATTACATATATATAATTATGTATGTAATTATCTATAATATAGGTTGTATTGTAAAGTTATATAATGTGCGACTAGTCGCCTAACTGTCGCCTAGGCGATATGGCGGTCGGCTGGCGCCACGACTCGCCTTACTGCCGTGACAAGTATGCTCACGAAGGTGTATCATTCGAAGATCCAGAGAGATATAGAAGATTGGTTGGAAAACTTAATTATCTCGCAGTTACCCGTCCAGATATTGCATACTCAGTGAGTGTAGTGAGTCAGTATATGTCATCTCCCACAGTTGATCACTGGAATGTTGTAGAACATATATTATGTTACTTGAAGGGGACACCAGGACGAGGTATTGTTTATCAAAATCATGAGAATTGAATGCTTTGCAGATGCTGATTGGGCTGGATCTAAAGATTATAGAAGATCTACATCTGGCTATTGCGTCTTTGTTGGTGGTAATCTTGTCTCCTGGAAAACTAAGAAGCAGAATGTGGTTTCTCGATCTAGTGCCGAATCAGAATATCGTGCTATGGCACAATCAGCATGTGAGATAATCTGGATAAACCATTTATTGAGTGAAATTGGATTGAAGACACCAATGCATGAGAAACTGTGGTGTGATAACCAAGTTGCTATACACATTGCCAAAAACTCAGTGTTTCATGAGAGAACAAAACATATTGAGGTCGATTGTCATTTTATTTGAGAGAAGATACAAAAAGGAATGATCTCTACATGATATGTGAAGACTGGGGAACAACTTGGAGATTTGTTCACTAAAGCACTAAATGGAATTCGAGTTGGTTATTGATGTAACAAGTTGGGCATGATAAATATCTATGCTCCAACTTGAGGGAGAGTGTGAAAGTATATTAGAATATACTTTAGAATATGTTGTAGAATATATTAGGAATATACCATATATATTATTATTGTATAGCATCTTTTATAGGAATATTTTATCTTGTAATCTATATTTATAGGGCCTTACCCTTCAATGAAATACACTTTCCTCCACTTTCAACATTATTCTAGTTTATATTTCAACAAAGAATAAACAAAGAACAACGCATCCCCTCCTTGGACATTCTTTCCGAGTTGATTTCCATCGCCTCGGTCCTATTTCAGATGCGGCGAGAAGAAGGACGTGAAGGAGACGCCCAGAGTTGCAGAGTACCATGTCGCCGGCGACCAGTAGCCTTCGTTCCCCAACCGTTCATGATCTGGGCATCTTCAAGCTCCGTCTATGTGCCATTTTTTTAGCATCTTCAAGCTTTAATTTGTTGAACCGAACATATCAGCCGACACATTTGGATTATTGGAGGCTTTGAAGAGAAACCGGTTGGGGGGAGACAATACGCATTTGGATTATTTTAGGCTTTGATAAGGGACCGGTTGGGGGGGAGCAATATGAATCAGTGGCGGTGGTTTTCGAACGATCCAACCAATAATTAAGTCGCCGGCGATACTCTGTAAATCCGTTGTTGTCGTCGCCGTCATTCCTCGCAATCAAGATGAAGAAATAAAACATCAGCGCAGCATCGGGTGGAAGAATAAAGAAAGGGGAGAGAAGGTTTGATGGGGAAAAGAAGATCAGAAAGGGGGAGAACGATACAAAAGGTGAGAGTGGGGTGGGGCAGATAACTAAGAACGGGAGAGAAGGGAAAATAAATTAATAAAGCAAAAAGAAATAAAGTAAAAACTGACACATGGGTCACCATGTAAGACTAGTAACCCGTAAACCAGAACTCAACCTGGTAGATTACATAATTGACAGTTTTTGTAAAGTTTATGGGCTCAATTGAGTGTTGTTTTAGTTCAGGGGCCAAATTGACTTTTCTTATATACTACGAGGACCTATTTGACAGTTTTTCCTAAAAGATATCATTGGTCAAACTTAACCATCATTGACCAAGAAAAGTCAATATAGCCAAGTTTTATGGGACGGGGGAGTATAAAATTTCAATATAAATAAAAAAACTTGAATTCCAGGCAAAATGCTCAATGCAAAATAGCAAATTCAGGGGAAAACTATAAGTATGAACTTACAGGCAGACCACATCTGCTTAGGGCAGTAGCACACATCAAATTTGCCCATTTACCCAAGGCTGCAGCATTTTTCTCACCAACAACATTTCTCATACAAGTTTTCATTGTTAACATTAGGCAGTATTGTCCAATGCTTGGATCTAAAAATGCATCTTGGTGTGAGGATAGAACATACTTATGGAGACAGGACTCAGGTGGGACAGCAAGCATTCTCTGGTATGATCGTGAATAATTTCCTAATATCCACTGCAAATGAAAGTGAATGCACTTATCATTGAGCAAAGATGGAAGAAATTAAGCACGGTGACTTTTTCCTGTGAGCCAGAACTAAATGAATAGACCAATACCTCCAAGAAACTGGCAAGCCAATAATCACCTTTAGCAACTGCAGATGGAAGAAGCAATTTCATAACAATATAATGCTCTAATGGTCCACCATACCCTTCAACAAGATGACAGATTAGAAGTCCAAGCTGCTCATCTCTGAGGTTCTTCACACACACAGTGACAGCAGATGTCATGTCACCTCCAAGCAAAAAGAATGCAACTGCAAGTTCAAGTTCATGTTTTCCCAGTAAAACATATGCATTTTTAACAGCTGCTGCCTTATTTTTATCCTCCTGAAAAGGAAAGTTGCTAAAATTGTTGATTTGGAACAAAACAATCATCATACTCATCGCAAATTCAGTTCTTTTAGCATCAAATACATAAACGGAGTGTCTCATTTACTACACTGATTATGATGTCAAGACTTCTTGCATCAAATTTCAATATGTTGAACCTAAAATAGTCAAGATATATGCACTAGGGGTGGGCAAAACGGTTCGGGTCAACCAACCTGACCTGAACCTGAAATTTCGGAGTATGGATTGATTTTGGTTATCCAAAGTAACCCGTTTAGTAATTATATCGACTAGTCCCACCGTATGTAATATGTGTGTGTGTGTACACACATACACATATAGATAGTATTGTGTTTGAATATATTTAATTTGTAATATATAATAGAAAAAACCGCTTGAGGAATGAGACAATCAGACCAAAGGTGGGAGTAGCACTCCTTGAAGATAAGATGTCAGAGTCTCGATTGCTTTCATTTGGCCATGTGCATAGAAGATCGAGTGTTACACCTGTTAGATGAGTTGAGAGGTGTGGAGAAGAGGCGAGGAGAAGAGCGAGAGAACGACCTAAACAAACACAGATTAGAGGAGTCGGGATTGATATGTCACTTCTTGAATTGGATGAAAGTATGACTTCGGATAGAGTGAAGTAGCGGAGGCAGCATATTCAGGTGGAGTATTGATTTCCCTTTCATCTTTTCTATCTTTTTTTAACAAAAGTTGAATTTTATTGAGAAAAGGATAACAAATTACATCTGCTAATGAAGGTAGAAAATTAAAGACATAATAATGGAAGAAAACAAAACATTAATGAGGAAATGAAAGAGAGAGAAAGACTTTCTATCTTTTTGTCTTTTTTCTTTCTTATGTCTTTTATCTTTTGATCTTTATCTTACCTTTTTTATCTTTTTATCTTTTTTATCTTACTTATCTTTTAATCTTTGTTTTATCCTTTTTAGCTCCGATTTCAATCATTTCATATGTCGATTCATGTTAGCCCACTTAGCCGACCCCAAACTCTTTTGGTACTAAGGCTTGGATGTTGTTATTGTTGTATATTATATATTACAAATTAAATTATATATTGCATAAAATTGATATTCCATCATTTGCAATGGAGCCAAAGATTCATTATTTTTTGGCTTTAGAATATGATGGAATAAAGCAAAATGACTCACTAAACTGTCTGCGTTTCTTTGTTATGAAGCAGCAGTCAATCCATGCAATTTTTGACGCGATTTTCACTATGGGTCATCCGGAAACAGTCTCTCTGTGCTTTAGTACAGAGGTAAGACTGCGTACATCCGACCCCCCCCTTACCCCACCGTAGGTGGGAGCCTTTGCGGCACTGGGGTAAATGAAAATGAAAATGAAATGATTGCATAAAATTGATGTATTTTTCATATGTAACTGTTGTATTTTTCATATGTTTATGGGTTACGAGACAGTTATGGTTCTATACATGACCGACTCATTATCCACCTTTTTCATTTTAAATATGGTTACCTACAGCATTAACCGCCCCAATATTTTTATTAATAATTTGAATTTATAAATTATTATAAATTGAATCAATACTAACTACAGAAATCCCTTCTTTGAGAACAACTTTTTTGGATGGCCCGAAAAGGGAAAATGTAAAGAATATTTTTGGAACAAAAGGAGTATACAAGCACATACACTGACGTGCGTGCGCGTGCACAGATATAATTACAATTTTTTTTAGAATTTGCCTTTATTAGGAGTAAGACATGTTGGGAATTCCTAAATAGGAGTTTACGTTTTTTATTCCCTAAATAGGACCACACATTACTCGTATACCCTCTATACCCTTCTTACTCATGCCGATTAAACCCTATTCCACATTAATTGACGCTCCAAGTCGGTCGATCTTCTCTGTCGATTAAACTTTACAAGGGCTTCACCATCTTCAACGTTCGCCGCCCCACCACTGCTTCTTTCGTTGGTTGCATTCACCTCCACGTTCGCTGCTTCTCTTCATCGGATTCACCTCCACGGTTGCCGGAGCAGGTAACTCCTCCCCCTCTTCTTCTTCTTGTTCTTCTTATTCTTCTCCTCCTCCTCTTTCTTTTTCTTCTTCTTCTTCTTCTTCTTCTTCTTCTTCCCATTCTCGTTCGTGCTCTGTTTTCATCTTCTTCTGACTTTTTATTTCAATCAATGATTTTATTTCATTTTTTCAGATTCTAAATTGAACAATTATATTTTAGATCTGAAAAAATGAAAGTTCAAAAATAAAAATCTGAAAAAATGAGATACGAAAATTCAGGGCTTCCATGGTGATATGAAATTGTTCAATTTCATGTTTTTTTCAAATTAATTTTGATAATTTATTTTAATACATAACAATTGCTATTTCTGTTCATTTTAAATATAAAAAGGCCATAAGATCATTGTTATTCGAACAGTACGAAGTAATACCAGTTTTATGGCATTAAAAATTGTCATTTTTACTCTAATGTCATGTTTTTCTATTCATGAATGCCATGTTATTTTTTGAAAGATAATGGCAAATAGTGTCATTTTTATGGAACTAATTACATCAAGATGACAATATTGTTTCTAATGCCATGTTTTTATATCTTCAAATGCCATGTTGTTGTTTTTAGAAGTGTCATGATTTTCTCTCAAAATGACATATTTTTAGATTTTCATATGTCAAAATATGTCACTGCTTTATGAAGATGGCAATGACGCTTGAAAGAGGCAGCGGCCGGCAATAGCAGAAGTGCGTTGATGCCAGTGATCCACGTGCTAGAAGAGGCCGCGGCGGCAATAGATGTGTCGGGTGGCAGCAGTTGCAAAGTGAGCGGTGGTAGATGTGACGGCGATGTCAGATGTGGCGGCGGCGGCGATGTCAGATGCGGCGGCGGCGGCCATGTCAGATGCGGCAGCTGGTGGTGCTGCCGGTGCCGGAGTCAGTAAAGGTGGCACACAGCCTCCGTTTGCATCGTTCATGTCTCTATTCATGTATCTGGGTTACGGAGTATTTTGTAATATTTGTTTATTAGTAATAAGACATTAGGTTTTTCATCAAGGGCATTTTTGTCAGCTCAGGTACTTTTTACTCCTATCAAACATTGATGTCCTACTTTTGCACTCTTCTAATCTTTTACTCCTAGTTAGGTAATTAACTAATTACCTCTTTTGAGTTTTGCTTGGGGTACACAAAATGTGTACACATGTCTGTCCTCCAAAGACATTTTGTGTACCCAAAGCATTTTTCTACCTCTTTTATTTTCGAATATTATTTAGACATTTAATATACTCTCTTTATCCCATAAAAAGAACTTCACCAAGGTATAACTATTAAACTTTTATAAGGTCCAAGTTTGCAACTATTGAAATCATCAATTATAGATATAATTTTTAATTTATGTGTTATTGTTATTATATTTTAAAATAATTAACTTGTTTTGAACACATTTTTATTAAAAACATTTCTCTTGTTTGAATATAACTCTTTTTTAATGATAAGCAATTTTTATCCATTTTGGAAAAATCATGACCACAACAACAACACTACCTACAGTGGGGTAAAGGGGCTCGGATGTGATCCTTACCCATGTACTAAAGCACAGAGAGACTATTTTCGGATGATCCATGTTGAAAATCGCGTTGAAAAAAAAGTGAGTCTTTGGCTCCATTGGAAATGATGGAACAATCATTACCAATTTAAGAAAATGGTTATGTACTGTTCAACCCCTTAACATTGCTGATTACAATTGCATGACCAAAAATTATAAGATTAGTTATAGATATAACAATCACCAAATCGCCCCATTAACATTGTTGATTACAATTGCATGACCAAAAATTATATAAAATGAAATTGAATTTTCTTTTATCTACAAAAATATTTCTATGGATAGAATGAAAAGAGATTAAATGAAACCCTGAAAGTTTAGTAAGAGTGTAGGACTGAAAACAGATCAATAGCAGAAGCACAATACCTGAAAATTGCGAGAAAGAAAACCCACCAAAGGTTTGTCCTTTTCATCTTTACTAATTCTGAAAAGGCCTCTCAAAACTTGAATTTTATTCAAGGCAATGTAGAGAAGTGTGCATGCCTTGGGGTCTTTATTTTTTAAATATTGCTGTTTTGCTAGCTTCTCCATCTACAAGTAGAATAAAGAAAGTTAGTGTAAACAGAACATGATAAAGATACTAATAAACACTGGCCTATGCCTTGTACACTAATAAGCTTAATATAGTTCCCAAAAAATGTGCTAGGATCCTTTGTTCAAAGAACCATATCCAAGATGAGCTTGAATGTTTTCAAGTGCCTAAAACTTACAGTGCGATGTATTGTCATATATATATGTATATATGTATATATGTATATGTAAGCAAATGATGATATCAACTGAGACCTAAACCTATGAAAAGATGCACATAAGAGAATGTGATGTCTTGTAAGTACTTGAATGCTGATCTAGCAAGGAGACAACAGGACGTCAAACAAAGAAGAATGGGATGAGAAGATAACAAAGCATGTGATACCAAATTGCAGAAGAACAGGCGTGCTAACACTTCAAACATGTAAGAGGGCACACACAAAAATTAGACAATGGCATGCATAAGTACTTTCATAGTTTATGTCAAGAGATAATAGATGTTCAAGCTTCTAAATAGAACTATTTAAACTGTAGTTTACAAGAAATTTCACGAGGAAATAGATTTAATAGAACTTTAAGTTTAATGAATAGAGTACCTTAGAGCGTAGTTGTGTGACATTTGTAAACCAGAAACCAATTCCTATGTCACGCATCTCTTCCCAAGAAGGTTCAGTAGATAAGAGAGAATCAAATAAAGTGTCTTGGCAACCAGAATGAAAAGCCCACCCAATCAAGGATGACTGAGAAACCAGCTCTCCGACCAATGGTGACCTGTGGCATCTTTCAACAAAATATAGCAGCTGAAATCTCATTGCGACCCAGAACCTGAGGAAGATAAACAAAGCAAGATGAATGAACGAATTGATGAATTATCATAACTAGGACGTAAAATACCAGATGCACCATAGAGTTAATGGCTAGTGCCATTCGGCCCGAGCTTTGAGAAGGAGTGTAAACTATTAAGCAAAAACAAACTCAAGTTTCATTATGACAAAAAACGCAAGGAAACTCAACGCGTCATGTGCCAATACAACTATAAGGACACATTTACTTCACCGATTATTAAGCAGTGCTTACTAAGACTTGCGTTAATAAGCGGCGCGTAAAATAAGCAGTGTTATAAGCTCATGTTTACTTCAAAGGATTTAAAACACCGTTTAACATTAAAATGTCCAAAATAACCCTATACATATATAGACACACACACATTCATGTATACACAAGAGTATATATATATATATAATATGTGGGGGCCTACCCCCTACCCCTACTTATCACCCATATGCATACCCATACCTCTGCCTCTAACCCCCTACCCCTACTTACCACCCATATGCATACCCATACCTCTGCCTCTAACCCCTACCCCTTCATGCTCCCCGCCCCTACCCCTACCGCGACTTTATCCCTCTACCTACCCTACCATACCGCCCAACCTTGACCCGCCTACTCGACCCACGCGTGGGATAGGGGTAAGGGGTTAGGGGGTGGGGTAAAGATTAGGGTTAGGGGTAGGGGTAAAGTAAGGGGTAAGGGAAGGGTAAATGTGGAAAATGGAAAAAAGCAGAAACTGCTGCTTAATCAATACATGGGGGTGGTATGCTTAGTAAGAGGCACTTTAAACACCTATTTGGGTTAGTAAACAACTTTTTCACCTTTCTTACTAACCTAACTGTGACTTTAGGCAACCAAGTAAACACGTCCTAACTTTGCTTAGTGGGATGGTTAGGTCAGCAAAAATAAATTCATAATTTTAATACATTGGTGACAAAAAATAAACTTAATACCTTCGACCTGGATCATCAAGACTTTCATAAGGAGATACCAACTCTGTATTGCTAACTTCTTGCAAAAGGGTTATAGCAGCACGAGTATACATCACTTCAGTATCAGACATGATTGTACACTTGGATAGTTTGTCAAAGGCTTCAATGAATGAAGATATTTCACATCTTGATGGGGAAGTAAGGGGTTCATAGTTACCCAAATTTGAGGCAGATTGATATGACTCTCTAAGTGACGATGACATACCCCCACTCCATTGGAAGGACTTGTCTGCTGAACTCCGCAACGTGCATCCTTCAAGATAGTTTGACAAGGGAACAGGTAATGTGTAACACCTGAAATTTTGAAAACAGGATCTCTTTGCAAATGTTTCACAACTGATGTGTTCGCTGAAACAATTCAGGACTACATGTGAGCGTTTCCAATGACCTGAAAGCATCGCAAACTTATATTCAAAACTGAACTCAACCATTCATTTATGCCTGTCTGATAAAGAAATGGATTGAAATGGACCAGGGAAACAAGAAGAAATAATGCAAATCAGGCAATTTGAAAACACCTGAAAGTAAGTTCACAAGAAGTGCATCTGGGTGAATGACAGGGATTGATCCTCCCAACATTTCCATCAACTCAAGCATGCTCCAAATGCCAATATTTGTCAATGAATTGCATTCCTTTTCAGAGACTTTGACATTGATAACAGGGATAATTTCGAGTATCGTGTTCATCTTCATAGGGGATCTAAACTGGCACCGTCGATGATTATCAAAACCCTCGTATAATGAACTGGGTGCCGGTTCTTCAGAACCATTACAGCAAACGCACCTATCCCCGTACATTTTTTCACAAAACTTGGAAAAACTTTTGCTGCCCTCCAAAAACAATAATCTACTATAGAGAGAAAAATACTCGCTATGAGCAACCACTATTGTGGCTTTCGGGCCCCAGAAGAAGTCATGAATGGTGGCTTTAGTGTGGCATTCAGCAATACAGACCCAGATCCTTCCCTCTAAGGATGTTTCTGATTTCATAATATAATGGCCTCCACAACGTCTTTGACCATACACCTGTAACTTATTCCCCGTACAAACCCCCAGTAACAACTGACCATTTCCCATAGTCAACCAATTTAATGCAACTACTTCTGAATCAAAATACAAAGTATCCTCAAGGATAAAGCTACCTTGATCCATAAGGTGCACACATTCCCATATATGGAGATTACTTGAAGTAGTTGCTTTATCAATTTTCGAGATTGTAGCAATCCTCCTACCACAAGAACTTGAAGATATTGCAAGAATGGGACCAGAATGAATACAAAGCAAGCCGACAAGTTCCCACTGTGAATTTAAGCTTTTAGCGAGCTTGCTTTTCCAGATTTTCAAACTACCATCACTGCAACCAGTGACCAGGTGATAAGAGAAATGATTACTGCACTTCTCATAAGAAGAATCCTGGTCCATGCTCAAAACATAATTAGTTGGACAAAGTACTTCAAAGCTAGAAACGAGGTCATGGTTGTATGGAGCAGGGACTCGTGATGAACAAGGCTCAACAGAAACACAATATGTTTTACTGCAAAAACTACTTTTGAATCTGCACGAACTATTTTTAACATTATTTAGCTTCCCAAGATTGCAGTTGCATGAGATTCCAGAATCATCATAGTAGTGGATGCTAATTTTTGAAGAAAGGGCCTGGAAAGCACTCTTCCATACAGATACTAGCAAGAAATTATTATAAACAAAGGTTTCATTGTCAGTAGAAGGTAAAGAAATCAAGCAGACACTATTTGGACCTTCTACATTGTCTTCTCTGAAAAAAGGTATGGTGCACATGTTATGACATAATAATTTCTTTTCTTCATTTTTTGATGTTGTGACAATAAAAAAATCTACACCGTGAGCGTGTCCAACAAAAAGGCTCCATTCTTCATTTGACATTGCAGGTCCCCAATTCAAGCAAGAGTACCTTGAACTGGAACGTGAAACAATAGTTATTCCGGAAAATTTCCAAGAGGAATTTAAAGTTGGCATGACATCACAAGAAGTAGCAGATAATGTCCAAAATTGGAGCACTCCATTTATACTAAGAGAGGCAGCAAATTCAGATTCAAACGAACAAGGAAGAACTGCAACTTGTGAAATTTTATCACTGTAATTGTCAACATCCAAAATCCCTCTAGCACAAAATGGTAAGATATCAGTCTGACTTTTTTTTGGGAGACCATCTTCTTCAATACTTGATTTTGAAGATCGTTCTTCACCAGGAGTTGGTGTTGAGGAATATAAATGTATCCAGACTAGAGTGTTACAAGGTAGTAGATCAACCCACGAACAAACTATAGGTGGCTCAAAGAACTGATTCCTCGTGATAAACACATTACTAAGTGGCAGTCCTTTAGAACATACTTCCGGAAAGTTGATTTCTTTGTTATTCCATAAAGTAATCCTTGGGAATCTTGCCGGAGCAAAATCATCGAGACAATGGGCAGCCCAGAGAGACAAATTTTTTTCAGGACCATAAGCAATTAACCATTCGCACTTACCAAACTTGTCATGTTGGTCTTCCTCAAGAGAGGAATGCAAGCAAGTTTCTTCTCCAATCTTTACAACGCCATCAATATCTGTTGCCCATCTTACAAATATATCATATCCTAGTTTTCCACTCAATGGTTGATTCATCTCAGCCACAGCAACCACTTGAAGACATAATCTAGTAACCTTGCGATCATTTTCTTTGAATGGCTTTTTTACCATTTCATCATTCATCTCACTCCACAATCTCACAGCCCCATCTAGACAACAAGTTAACAGCAGTAACCTTTTGAAACTTCTGCCATCTTTATTTGGCTCTCGTGATGCAGATGGTCTCCATTGAACCATAGAAACAGGCTGCGGATGAGGAAGCATAGCATGTGCAAGTTGAGAATCTTTATCTCCTCGAAACACTAATACATAGTTTTTATCCAAGCAGGTAGGAAAACCCAAATCTTCAACTTGCAATCCATGCAGAGGTGCTGTTGCCAAAGGTCCTTCAATTGACCAGGTAGCGGACACTATCATTTGAGGCACTTCCGGTCTAAACTTCCATGCTATTTCCCAGGATCTCTCATATTTTTTCCATAAGACCACCTCAATGCCAACTGATACTATCCCATCTCCAGACCCTGTCCATTTGATCGCATCCACCTTTGTAGATTGAACCAGTACTGTAGTCTGGCTCCAACAAAAAGAACCTGAATATGAGTAATTGATATTTTTATTCAAGTGAACGGAGGGAGAGAGAAATAACAAACTTATGAAGCAGTTCAGATCATGTAGCCATTCTAAAAGTCAGTTTAGAGAAAGACACTTACTTGACTTACAGTTCCAAAAGAATGTTATTTATGATCGAGGTAAGTCGATTAAACTTAAGGGTAAATTTTATCGGACATCAATTAAGCATGAATTTCCATCATTTGCAATGAAGCCAAAGACTCACTACTTTTTGGCTTGGGAATATAATGGAATAAAGCAAAATGACTCACTAAATTGTGTGTGCTTTTTTGTTATGAAGAAGCAGTCGGTCCATGCAATTTCGATGCGATTTTAGTACAGGGATAAGCCTGCGTACATCTGACCCCCCCCCTTACACCACCATAGGTTGGAGCCTTTGCTGCACTGGGGTAATGATGATGATGATGATGATGATGATCAATTAAGCCTCAATTACTCTATGGCGTAGAATATCAGACGGTGAAACAGTGTCACATTCAAAAGATGAGTGTGGCAGAGATATGCATGTTACGGTTAGTCGGTCACTAGATCGTTCGAGAAATGAGACAATTAGACAAATGATGGGAGTAACATTAGCACCTATAGAAGATAAGATACGGGAGACTCGATTGCAATGATTTGGTCATGTGTGTGGAGAAGAGGCGGGAGAAAGGGAGAGGAAGACTCAAACAAACGTGGATTAGAAGAATCAAAAGTGATATGCTTCTTCTTGAGTTGGATGAGAGTATGGCTTTGGAGAGAGCAAAGTGAAGGGCGGGTATTCGTGTGGCAAATTGATCTCCTATCACCTTTTTTCATTTATCTTTCTTATGTTTTATCCTTCTATCTTTTATCTATATGTATATATATATAGAGGATTGTAATTCTTAGGCCTCTTTCATTTGAGGTGCTTCCGAGTCGAATTTTTTGATGAAATTTTGTACGCATGTTCTCCCTGAAGTGTAAACTATGCCCACCAAATTTCAAATTAAAATTCAATCCAAAAGTCGGTTAAATATTTTTTTCAAAATTGCGCAGGTTTTTATATATATAAAATGCAGTTTTTTTTCAAATAACTTATTTTACTGACTTCTCGATTGAATTTTATTGTCAAACTTGGTGGACATAATCTACAATTCATGGAGAACATGCTCACAAAATTTCATCAAAAAATTAAACCCGGAAGCACCTCAAATGCAAGAGGCCTAAGAATTACAATTCTTAGGCCTCCTCACTAGAACATTGTCCTATATATATATGTATATATATATATATACACAATTCTTAGGCCTCCTCACTAGAACATTGTCCTATATATATATATATATATTCTCTTTATCCAGAATTGGAGAAGGCATTATTATGGTGTGTGATTATGTTGTGGTGGTGGAAGTCTTTATGAAGAACGACCACATCATGAGTAATATATTGTGATAAAAACAGTGTTGTCAATCCCAGATAGCGGAGCGGAGCGGCCAACCCCAAAAACGTTATAGCGGATAGAGGGATGACCGCTATTTAGGCTACTTTCAAATATAATACATAAGTAATTACTAGAAGCATATATAATACATTACATACACATTTCAAATTCAAAAAGTGTGATATATGGCAATGAAGCTTTCAAACATCTTAAGTCTTAACATTCATAAATCCTAAATTACTTGGTAATACCCTTTTTAAGTCATTAGTTTCATGACCAAAACATAAGATGTTATCATGCTATTAATGATTAAAACATCTTGAATCAAAAACAAGGTTCTACTTTAAGAGTTTAAGCCTTGATATATTAACAGTCAAAAAATTTAGATCCAACTTGCAAGCCCTTTGAATTCATCATTCACCACTCCTCATCAAATTCTTCTTCTTCATCCAACTCTATCTCATCTTCATTGTCATTTTCACTACTAAAGCAATCATAACTTTCTTCCTCCACATTTGTCTGCTCTGCCACTTCAACATGTTCTATATCTTCTATTGAGTGGTCCCTCCCTCTAGAGCTTGTAGCTTTTCACTTGTTCTGCTTTGATGCCTAGTGTTTATCAAGGGCTCACTCACACCAGTTAGATCAGCAACATCTCCCCAAGTAAAGTTGGCGTCATCATCGAAAACAAAATCATCCTCGGCATCCTCTCCATCTCCCCCCATTACTCCCACCAACCACTCATTGCTACCATCAATATCATTTAGGCAAATTGGATCGATCAAATCACGGCTATCAAACCGCTCCTTAAGATCTTGGTTATATTTAATATAAACCAAATCTTGCAACCTTTGATGCTCAAGCCTATTTCTCTTCTTCGAATGAATCTATGTTAAAAAATTATATTAAAAAACATTGTTAGTCTAGACTCCAGAATGAGAATAAAATCAGCACACTAATACACTATATGTTGTTGTTAGAAGTTTTAACGATGTAATAATAACATACATGCTCAAATGTACTCCAACAACGCCATCAATATCTTTTTGGCAACAGGATGAGAGGCAGCTGATCTTAGGGGGCCTTTTTCCTTTTCTGATATTCAGAATTTCAGTGAGTTCTTCCATGTCATCTTCATCTTTTTGCAACTCCATGTATGCTTCTTTTTCCCCTTTTTTCTTTTCATATGCTTCTTTCGGTAAAAGTGTAACATCAGCTGGAGTTTTCCTGCAAGCTCCTACATCTCCTCTTGTTTCCATTTGGTGTCTTTTGGCTCTGGTAATTCCTCCTGTAGTAGTTTTGCCACAAAAATCACATGTAACTGTCTTCTTGTCATTTAAATCTTTCAAACGGTTCCACTCCCAAGCCGGGTCAAGGTTGGCTCCAGTGGGCTTAAACACGGCAGTGGCAGTAGACTCCATGCTTAATGAGAAGAAGAAAAAAAGACTTCAACAAAGAAAAGTTTCATTTTGTAGAAGATGTTGCAGCACAAGTAGAAGAATGAAGGAAGAGTAAAAGATGAAGCAGCGATTGTACTGGAAAGAGGCGAAGTGGAAACTAGGGAAGAGCAGTCATCGCAGATGTTGTCGTCGTTGAAGGAGAAGTCATCGCAGCAAAAAGAATGAAAGACCGAGTTCAAAAGATGGGGCCGTTTGTAAGGTATTGGTCTACGCACGTGTAGAAGGGTTTACTGTGATTAATATTTTATATCAAAAAGACTAATTTACCCTTCAATCTCAGCCCTAAATAAACTAAACGCAGAAAAAGATTCAGAACATCGAAGGAAGAAATCGTGTCGCTATTGCGGCCGCCTTTATTACAATCGCGCGAGCGCTATTGCGGCCGCCTTAGACGCTTCACCCAAACGCAACGCTAGAGGACATCTTGTAGCGCCTGGTCAATCAGCCGCTCCGCACCACCGCTATAGCACGCGATAGCGCCGCTATTCACTTCACTGGATAAAAAGATATGATATCATGTCTGTGGTAAGTGCTTATGCACCACAAATGGGATTGGATGCATCTATGACAATAATTTTGGGAAGATCATTAGAAAGTGGTGCGAAGAGTGACAAGGGAAGAGAAGTTGGTCATAAGATGCGACCTTAATTAGCATGTGGGCTCAATTCGTGATGGTTTTGAGAGTATTCATGGTGGACATGGTTTTGGCACTAGAAATGAAGCGTGGAAGAACATTCTCCATTTTGCATCGACATATGAGTTGGCTGTCAGGAACATTTGGTTCAAAAAAAGAGACCCTCACCTTGTGACCTATAGAAATAGAGCTAATAGTACCCAAATTGTTTACTTCTTCGTATGGACGACGTGGAGAGCTAGCTACAATGATAGTAAGATTATCCCAAGTAAGAGTAATGTCACTCAGCATAGGGTGCTTGTGCTTAATTTTCATGGTAAGAATAAAAGGCGGGTTAAGGATCAAGTGGAGCTACAGATAAAGTGGTGGAGGCTCAAGGGGGATCTCTAACAAAGTTTTGCACACAAAATGTTGGAGGAAGATGTAGGATATATTGATAATGATGCACATGTAGACGATGTGTGGTTATTAATGGAGTCGACCATTAACAAAGTGACGAAGGAGATACTCGAAGAATCTAAAGGATGTCCGCCACCAAAAAAAGACACATCTTGGTGGAAGGATGTGGCGGAACAAGCAATAAGGACCAAAAGGGAAAACTACAAAAAGTTGGGCAAAAGTTAGTATGATGAGAACATAGAGGAGTACAAACAGGCTAAAAAAAGCAAAGAAAGCCATAAAGGGAATGCTGTTCTTCGTGATCGTAGGACTTGAGATATCAGAAAAGTTAAGTGTGTGAAGGATGTCAATCAAAGGGTACTAATGGAGGGCGATGAAAAAAAGAGGTGGAGGTCATGCGTTGATACCTTGTTCAACGGGAATAAAGTGTAAGGTATTGATGATCTTCGTTAGACCATATTTTACCGTGTTCATTTTAATTGTAATTATCTTTGTTTAAATAGATTTGTATTATTGTGCTTTGTATTTAATTGTTTAGGGCCTTTAGTATTTCATCTGTGCGGCAATCCTTAGGTAAACAGGATGTTCGATTATCTCTCCTAGGTTGTAGGTACGAACGTGCCTAAGAGTTCCACAATTATTTATGCCGCACGTATCATTCTTGAGCTTGAGAATATGATGGAATAAAGCAAAATGGCTCACTAAACTGTCTGCGCTTCTTTGTTATGAAGCAGCAGCAGTCCATGCAATTTTGGACGCGATTTTCACTATGGGTCATCCGGAAACAGTCTCTCTGTGCTTTAGTACAGGGGTAAGACTGCGTACATCCGACCGTAGGTGGGAGCCTTTGCGGCACTGGGGTAAATGAAAATGAAAATGAAAATGAAATGTATCATTCTTGAGCTCTCTACTTTATTCTCTTTGTCAACACTTGATTCGTATATCATGTATTCATCGACATATTGTTATGAATATACGGTAATGTTTGTTGATTGATTATTCCATCTTCTACATCTATTCTACATATTTGATTTATAGTTATTCGACTGTTGAATCTGGGAATTCACAATTGGTATCAGAGTTTGGGATGATAATGGCATAAAGCGCGTCCTTCTGGTGAATGAAATACATAAGTAATTAAGTATTGTGATGGAACGCTAAGAATAACGGAAGATCATTTCACAGATCGTGCAATAGAACTTCGCAACTCAGATGGAACAGTTTATGATTATGAACTTTATGATCAAATTGTGTTGATAGAGAAAGTTGTTTAAGAGCAACAAAAATTCAGAAAAAGATTGAGAGAATATGAAGTTTTTCTTGGATACAGAAAGTCACTATACAAGTCTCAAAGATAATTTGCTCAACATTGCAAATTGAACCCAAAGGGGGAGATTGGTACAAAGATGTATGATATATTGATAATGATGCACATGTAGACGATGTGTGGTTATCAATGGAGTCACTATTAACAAAGTGGCGAAGGAGATACTCGAAGAATCTAAAGGATGTCTGCCGCCAAAAAATGACACATCTGGGTGGAAGGATGTGGTGGAACAAGAATAAGGACCAAAAGGAAATGCTAGAAAAAGTTGAGCAAAAGTTAGTATGATGAGAAAATAAAGGAGTACAAGTAGGCTAAAAGAAAAAGCAAAGAAAACCATAACGGGAATGCTCTTCTTCGTGATCGTAAGACTCAAGATATCAGAAAGTTAAGTGTGTGAAGAATGTCGATCAAAAGATACTAATGGAGGATGATGAAAAAAGAGGTGGAGGTCAAACTTTGATACCTTGTTCAACGGGAATAAAATGCAACGTATTGATGATCTAACTATTCCAGATTGTATGGTAAATCAGTATTTTGTAAGAAGGATCAAACGATAGAAGTTAACGAGGTTTTGAGAAAGATGGAACGGAAGAAAGCAGTGGATCCAAAGGCATCGAGTGGCTAAAACGTTTCTTCAACATGATTTGGAGAAACAACAAAATGTCAGTGAGTTAGAAGAAGAGTATTATATTCCCTTATCTTTGCTTGTATAATAAATACCAAAGAGAGTTAGTGGTCCTTTTTCCGTCTAGTTATTTGCCTTTTAGAAGCGCATTTCGCACCTAATTTCTGTGAAATAAGACGATAGATGTGGTTTTACGTTAGTCATGCAAACGGAAACTCATTCTTAATATCTCGGCGTGGGTATAAAATAGTTCATATTCAAAACATGACTACGATTTATAAACAATTTATACTCCGTAACAACTTAACCAATACGCATTTCCAAGTGCCGCCACTCTTGTTAATCCATTACACATTAATGCAAATAAAATTCTTGCTTAGCTTTAAAAGTATATAAAAGTTATACAAAAGATTTCATTGGTCACTTGACTAGAAAGTCAAAAACTTGTCAAGAGGATTTTTTAACCCAAATAATTAAATGATCAATTTTTACTCATTATTTGTATTATCTATTACTAAAATATTATCCCATTTTTATGATCAATTAGATAAGTATTAGAAAAACACAAGTCTTACTTATTTTTTTATTATTACACAACTCATATCATGAGCTCATAAGTTTAGTGTTTTGTAAAAAATTGGAAAGAAAAGCCGAAAAACGAGGCTTACAAACTGGCTCATAATGTTCAAACGGTAAAGTATCTATACTATACCATTATCCCATCATCTATTGAGTTTACTCTCCCATTTAGAATCATATACTTTATTGAAAATGGAGCAGATTGTTAGTCACACAATTCATTCCCTAAAACAAAAAGAAAAAATTTCCAAAATGAAAAGAGGGGAGAAAATCATGTAATGAACGGAGTAATACATAATCTAAAATGCAAGCGTGTAACTCCTTTAAATAAATTAAAAAAGGGAAGAAAAAAACAAACAAAGGAAAGCATGTAATTCCTTTAATTTCTTTATTTATTTAGTAATTCATTACAAAATATACAAAAAAGATCATTGACGTAATTAAAATTAAAGCTTGTGTGACATAATTCTATTTTTAAAAGTGACAGTTTAGAATTTTATTTCACTTTTTTCCACCAAAAACCTATTCATGAGTCTATTGATATGGCGGATCTAGATTTATTGCTTGATATAACATTTTTTCTTCTTTAACTCATTTTCCATCAATGAAGAAATTTTAAAAATGACTCTTTAGTTTAAGTGTCTATCGAATTAGTTTGACTTTTCCTTCACTACATTGCACTTTTTGGTTCCAATACTGTTGTACTGCATTTGTGTGCGCTGACAAAAAAACACTTATTTACGAAAATATCGCCACTTTTTTAACCAAATCTGATGCATTGTTGGCACTTTAAGAGCCATCGGATCTCAAGCTCAATGCATGAAAATCATTCACATTTTTCACATTAAGACTTGTTTTTATTTGATCTAAAACCTACATATATAATTAAAATTCAAATTTGATGTGAAAACACTTTGAAGTGATTGTATCAACCATTTCAAAAGAAGGTTATGGTAAATGATTAAGGAACGTGTGAAGCAATACAAATACAGCTCATACAAAAATGTCATTGATGATTCGTCTCATTATTGCTTATTAAGAAAGCAATAGATTTAGAAAGTGTTGTTAAGCCCATATATTGGGTATTATTCGCACGTGATGCGTGAATAGCTAGTTTAAAAATGAGGGTGATGTACAAGAATGTGCCAAACCTCCAGGGATTAAGCTTATGAGTCACACTCACACCATGAAACTTTGAGAGCGGGTGGTTGAGCAAAGACTTCGAAAAAATCTGGAAATTTCGGAGAACCAATTTTTTTCCTCCTCTCAGAGAATCAGCTTTTATGACAAGACGCTCAACAACTGGGGTCATTCACCTTTTTAGACAAGTTGTGGAGATATATAGAGACACCAAAAAAGATCTGCATTTGGTGTTCATTGACTTAGAAAAGACGTGTAATAGGGTACCTCGAGAAGTCCTTTGGTGGGTCTCAAGTCTTAACTATAAAGGGCATATCACGTAAGTATATGAGTATCATCATCGATATGTATAAGCCTTGTACTACAAGTGTCCGTACTAATGTAGGGAGGACGGCAGAGTTCCCTATAACTATCGAAGTGCAACAAGGATCAACTCTGAGTCCTTTCTTATTTATTATAGTCTATAGTCATGGATGAACTTACAAAGACAATTCAAGAAAATATATTGTGGTGCATGATGTTTGCCGACAAATTGTAATGAATGAAAAGACACAATCGAGTGTTAAAGCAGAGTTGGAAATATGGCGGCAAACATTAGAGACTTTCAAACTGAGACGAAGCAAGACTGAGTATATGGAGTGCAAGTTTGATGGAGGTAGAAGTAGTAGTAACGTAGTAGTAACAATGGGATTACCCTTGGGCAAGGAGATACCGGTGTGTGGTATATTTCGTTACTTAGACTTCATAATTCAAAAGGATTGTGAAATAGATGGAGCTCTATCCCACATTCCCATAGAATCAAACCAAAGTGGATGAAATGGAATAGTGCATTAGGATTTCTATGTGATCGATGTATGCCGACTAGAGTGTTAGGTGGTGAAATAATGTGACATTTAAAAGATGAGTGTGGATGCCGATGTTATGTTAGATGTGTGAACATACCAGAAAAGACTACTTGAGGAATGAGAAAATCAAACAAAAGGTGGGAGTAACACTTATAGAAGATAAGGTGCAACAGTCTCGATTGCGCTGGTTTGATAATGTTCGTAGAAGACCGTGTAATGCACCTGTTAGACGAGTTGAGAGATGGGGAGAAGAGGCGAAGAGTAGAAGAAGAGAAAGACTTAAATAGACTTGGATTAGAAGAATCATAACCGATATAATTCTTCTTGGGTTGATATTCGTGTGGACGGTTGATATCTTTTCTCTCTTTCTTTTTCTTTTATATTTTATCTTCTTTATCTTTCAATGTTCTTATGTTATTTTTATCTTTTATCTTTCTTATAATCTTTTATCTTTCTTATGTTCTTATGTTACTTTTATCTTATATCAATCTTTATTTTATTCATTTTATCTTACCTTATCTTTTTTTAATCTTTCTTCTCTTTTTGGCTTTTGATTCATGTTACCCGAACCCAAAATCTTTTGATGATTGGATGTTGTTGTTGTTTTATTCTTTTTATGCTTTTTAATTAACTTATCATTTTTATGTATATTTTATCTCTATTTTATCTTATCTTCTTTTTATCTTTTTATCACACCTTATCTTTTCATCCTTTTTTCTTTTTTACTCCGATATCATTTATATACTCATGTTAGCTGATTCCAAAAATTTTTGAAACTAAGACTTAGATGTTGTTGTTGTACTATATGATGAATGGCGGTTACCAAAAGGTGCACAAAGGCACTGGAAATTATATTTTCATTTTGCAGTGTGGCATACAGACTGCGTCATAGAATGTTTTTTGTTCTCATATGAAATGTTCCTTCCGTCCCATTGGACTTTACCAACTTTACTTTTTTTTGTTGTCCAAAAAACTTTGTTACTGAAAGTAACTAATTCGTTTTTCTGGTCATTTATTTCTTTTCTGCACAAACCTCAACCAAATAACTTTCAATTTTCTTATTTCTTATGTAATTCTTACTTGCCGGATTGGCAAAGTTCACTGAGACGGAGGTAATATATACACTAGAGAGTAGAGCCCACAACCCAACAAAAAGTTAATGTTATATAACTTCATTATTCCAGGCATATCATCTATATCACATCATTTGTCACTCGCTCCTTTTGCATGTTAGTAAATAGACTTCACATATGAAAACTAAAAACAATCTCACTTGTAATTATATCTCACCTGAAAAGGAGTGAACAAGACATGTGATATATGATACATTGATACTATGCCATTATAAACATATTTGGCCTACCATTACATGCCTACTTGCCTAGGCCTTCAGCTCACGGATCAGGAAAGTGCAATCATGCGAAGAGAACAGTGCAGTAATGTTTGTAGAGAACTTACTATCACAAATTTCTGGCTGGAACGAAAACAAACCAATACAAGTATCCAAAGAGGCCGCAAGGCCGCCAGAAGAAGGCGTAGCTGGCGACCAGGCAACGGCGGAAACAGTACCCGTACCGTCCACTGACAGCTCGAAAACTTGGTGTAATATGGAGCCAATTGCAGTTTCTCTCTCTGATAGAGGGTTGGGAAAGTGCTTGATGACGAGGAGGGACGAAGCGCCGTAAGCAATCCATGAGTAGCCGGCGAAGTCAGATAACCAGTCGATTGCGGGTTCAAATTCAGAGCTAGATTTGGATCGATTTGGAGCAGGAGGAATGATCTCAGATTTGGCCAGGCATAGCGGTAAATGACGGACAATGTCGATCGGCTTTGCTGACGGGCCCGTGCCGTCACAGTCTTCCATTGTTCTAGTAGGAGAGTTATTACTTGGTGCAGTTAAGGATGGCTCATAGATGTAAGGGTCAGCCCACCCAGCACGTATGTAAGGGTCAGCCCACCCAGCACGTATGTAAGGGTCAGCCCACCCAGCCCGTCCAGCCCGCCCCACAAATGGGCGAACTTCAACATACTACGAGGCCGTTTGGCAACACTGTTTTTCGGTTTATCTGACTTATCAGTTAACTATTTCACCAAACACGTAACTTTTGCTTTCGCGCACTGAATTGTGTCATAAACAGAAAAAGTAAGGTTGGAGTTACTTTTCTGGGTGTATTGGCTCAAGTTACTGTAGATGACCATTTTAGCTATTTTTACATATAATTTTTTCTTTGTTTTATTAATAAAATATATTTTAAAAATATTTTTCTTAAATCAGTAGAATGAGCCAATGTAGCCACTTCAGCCAGAACTTCATAAATTTCAGAAAAATAAGCTAAATCAGCTGATTTTCATGCTACCAAACGACTTCTACATTTGTCCCATTTAAAACTTTACATTGTAAAATGCAAAATTATCTAGATAATTATATAGATAATTATATTTTTATAAACAATTTTGATGGTATATATAATATAATGACGTCATTGATGATAATTGTGATGTTATAAATTTATTTTTTTTAATATTTGATGATTTAATTATCATTTAATTGTGTTAATTGTTTCCTAAAATAGATGTGAGAACCTATATGTGGAACATCCAAAAAAGGAAAGTGACAACCTTAGAAAGAAATGGATAGAGTATATGGGCGGGATGCCATCCTGGTCGATGCCATCCTGGTCCGCAATAGCATATGGGCGGGATGGGTTAAGATGTAGGCATGTTTGGGCCGATAAGCCCGACACGCTACATTTAGTATGTATACTAATTTATATATATATATATATATATATATATATATATATATATATATATATACACGTGCATATTTACATTACTAATTTGTCTTTATAGGCATCGATGCTCGTCGTTGATGTCTGATGGTCCGCTGCCTTCGTGAGTCGTTGCTCGTTGCTGCTGTATTCTGGATTCCTGCTACTCATAAAATTCATAACTTATTTTTTGTATGAAGGTAACTTCTCAATTGCGGTCTGGTCCTAACCTTGTCTATGGAATATTTTGGGGTTCGTTTTGTCAGCATTAGTAATTGGAGGTTGGGTAGTCTGATTCGGCGTCTATAAGTGCGAGTGGTGGTTTTGTCTTCTATTACCCGCAGTTGTCCGGCTAGTACTTGTCCAGATTTCTTTCTGGTTGATTTTTCAAACGTTGATCATTGTAATGAGCATCGTGAGTTGGAATTGCTAAGGGCTAGAAAATATGGCCACCGTGCAAGTTCATGTTGATTACCTTCTTAATGGAGACGAAAGTGCACCGTCATCAGTGTGAGGACCTAAGAGAGGTGTTGGGTTTTGCACATAGCTCTGTGGTGGATAGTTTGGGTTGGGTGACAGCCTTTGCTTACTGTGGTGAAGTCATATTCACCTCCAGGTGATTTCTTACTCGAGCAACTCTCTTGATTGTTTAATGAAGGTTGATGAAGGAGAATCGGGGCTTACTTGAGCAACTCTCTTGATTGTGTTAGTGAAGGTTGATGAAGGAGAGCCAGAGTGGCGGTTCACCAGTTTCTATGGATTTCCTGAACGACTCAGACAAAGAATCCTGAAATTTGATTAGCGGTCTCTCTTGGCAGATGTCGATCAGGCCGGTCGTGGTTAATAATAGGGGATTTTGACAATATAATGTTTAGTGGAGAACGGAGAGGCCGAGTTCTCCAACCAAGGTGGCTTATGAAGGGATTTAAAGAGTCTATTTGTGGCAGTGACCTTTGTGATGTGAATTTTGATGGCTATCGGTGGACATGGAAGCATGGTATGGGTACAAGCTCGTGTCTCGAAGAAAATTTAGATCAGATATTACCTAATGATAGTTGGCTCGATCTTTTCAATGATATTGTTTCAACTTCTTTTGAGGGTCCATTTAGTGACCATCTGATGCTATTTCTGAACTCGATGTATATGGGAGACAAGGGTGGAAGAGAGCTTTCAAGTTCAAGAATGTGTGGACTCAATAAGAGGAATGTCGAGAGGTTGTGATCCGGAGTTGGAGGGGTAACTCACAGCTTGATATTTGTCACCGAGTAACAGGTTGTGGTCGTGAACCAGAACTATGGAGCAGACGGTGAAAAATTGGCTTCCAATCCAAAATAGATTATTGCAAGCATCATTTAGTCTATCTCAGAACAGTTAGAGGAGGTGGGAGAAATGTGGAGTTTCAAAGAGCCAAACATAAATTATTAGGTCTTCTCTACCAACAAAACACCTTTTGGAAGCAGCGCGCTAAGGAGTTTTGGTTAAAAGGAGGAGATGTTAACTCCAAATATTTTCAAAACGCGATTAAGCAAAGACGGAGGAGAAACATAATAAGAGAGATTTTCGTTGTTTTTCTCTTCGATTAACGATGACTCAATTGGACTACATCATTCCGGCCTAGCAATAGTGGCAGATAATCACAATGATATGTTGGTTAGACCAATAACGACATTAGAGGCGAGGAAAGTTGACTTTGTTATGCACCCTAGTAAGGCGCCTTGCCCGGGTGGTTCAAAAAAATGCACGAAGGAAAGCTCCTAAGAGAGGTAAATCTTAGTAATGTTGCTTTGATCCGTGAAAAGGATAAACCTGGAAGTTTGGGTGATTGGCGTCCCATAGTTCTATGTACGGTGATTCATAAAACAAATCGCAAAGGTGCTTGCAAATAGATTAAAAGTCATTGTTCACATCCTGGTTTATGATTAACAAAGTGTTTTAATCCAGGGTAGATCGATAATAAATAATATTATGATCGATTTTGAAACTCATTATTATCTGAAATGGAAAAATCGAGGAAAAGAGGGTTTGTTGCATTAAAATTGGATATGAGTAAAGTAGGGTGCACTACTACATTTAAAGGCCTTTTGTAACGCTCAATTTCGTTACTATATGTCTAAAAGTTTGTTACATTCTTCCAAATGTAACCGTTTTGTGCTGTTACATTCGCTCGCGTTGCCTTTTCCCTAATGTAAATGCCATGTAACAATTTTTAGAACCAAATGTAATGGTCTTCTCAACAAACACAAAGTGTTACCACAGACTTAAGTGCAATGCAATTGTAACAGTCTTTGACGTATACAAATGTAACACTTAAGGATCATCAGGTAACCGATGCTATATTTAATTACTATATTAGCTTATGTGATAGTCATATATAATAGGCAAATCAACAAAATAAATAAGGTAAATATTGTGTCAATTACCAAGCTTTATTCAAAATAAGAGAATGATACAAACAAAATGGGGGGCATGTACCTTACCCCTAAATAAATTAAGTAGTGGCTCTACTTCATGTGGAGTACCCAATAGTCTAAAACTAAAACACCTTTTACACTTGAGATCAGTAAAATAGAAATATTAAAAAAACATTAGAGTTACTAAAACTAAAATTGGATTTGGCTAAAAATAAGCAGCACACATAGTTCAATTCCCTAAGGTAAAGCCTGAAAGATGTTCTTCAATTCCAAGGTGATCAAGCCTCCGAACGTCTTCAATCTTGGATCAGATCTTCAACAGCCATATATGAGCCTACCAGCAAGTTGGAATCAAGAGAATCAGATTCGGTTTAAAATTGAGTAAATTCGGCGCCAACGATCCATCAAGTAACCTGAAGAATTAGCATTTGTGTAACAAATAAAAAATGAAATAATCACATAAATTGCAGTTCAAAAAAATTGCAGTCAAATGGAATAAAGGATTCATCAGCCTAAGAAGCTAAATAATCATACCTCTGTAACAAACTTGAAATCATCCCAGATCAACACAGTTTCCACTTCTTGGTACTTATAAAGAGCAACACTATAAGTAAAGAAAAAGGGTAAGCTAGTCTAAAAGGGATAGATATAACATGCCAAAATAGAAAGTTGTTTTGCTTTATCCTTTGTGTGGTCACTTGGACTTGGAAAACAGAAGTTTTTTTACCCAAAGAGTTGTTCAAATCCATACTAATATAAGTAAGAGCATACATTAAACCAATACAATCAGACACTAGAGAATTGAATAACCATGTAAAACTAACCAAAGAGATCAAGCGTCACTTTTAATAAGTCAATTCAAGTTCTATTATAAACTTAAAATAAGAAGTTGTTCTCTTCACCTGATCTGAATGTTTTTTATCTGAATTTTTTAAGTTCTGATTTGATCTGATTTAAATTTTTCTGATCTGATCTGAATTTTTCTGATCTGAATCTTTCTGATCTGGTCTGATCTGAATCTTTCTGATCTGATCTGAATACTTCTGATCCGATCTGAATCTTTCTGATCTGAATCTTCCTGATCTAATCTGATTTGAATATTTCTATGATTATAATTATGATTATAATTATTAGAAATATAATTATTATAATTATAATTATAATCCTAATTATAAAAAACTATACTCCCTCCGTTCTCTAATAGATGGGAGTATAGGCTTTGACACAAGATTTAAGAAGAAATTAATAGGGGTAGGATAGAAGGTGCAGTGGGTTGTGTGTAAAGGAAAAAGTAGGAAAGAGAATGAAAAAGTAGGAAAGAAAATGAGTATATTCGTTGAAAAAACTTACCAAAATGGAAAGAAAGACAACTAATAGAGAACATCCCAAAATGGAAAGAAGGACAAGTATTATAGAACGGAGGGAGTATTTATAATTGTAATAATAATTGTAATTGAAATTAAAATTATTATTAAAATTATATTTATTATCATAAAATTGTTATTACAAATATAATCAAAATATTTTATAATTATATTATTATTAAAATTAATATAATAAAAAATCATATTTATAATTGTAATAATAATTGTAATTGAAATTGAAATTATTATAATTGTAATAATAATTGTAATTATTATATTTATAATCACTAATTATAAGTAAATCTATATTACTAATTGTAATCATATTTTTTATTATAATTATTTTCTATAATTATAATTGTAATTGTAATTATAATATTT